GATATTATTAAAATGAACTTGGTTTCTACAATGCCAAATTACCCAAATCATTTGCACAAAAGTAGCAGATAGGACATCATTAAGTTGCCCACTCCAAGATTTGCTAAAGAACGACAATATTGATACTACTGAAGATTGATCTAGTGGATGATTAATAATACATTGCAACCAAGACCAAATCGAAATAATAACAATTGAGAAATAAATGTTCAAAAGTCTCATTAGAGGAACCACACACACATAAACACCACCATGATACCTCTTAACCACAAATTGTCATTAGTGGGAACTTTATTATGAATCAAAATGCCAAACTAAATGGGCTATGGAGGGAGGGACAACTTTGATCATATGACAGATGCCTAAGGCTGTTGCGATACCCTAGGTTGAAGGTATTGATAGGCCTCAAGAAAATTAAAAATTTCACTATTAGAGTGCTTCCAAATAGGTTCATCTTCCTTTTGAAGAGTCAAATATTTTTAACTTGAACTTGGATTTTGATAACCAAATATTTTTAAATAATTATAATTTTATTTTTATTCTCACTTAAAAATATTTTTATTAAATAAATGAGATAATAAAAATGAATTTATATTATTATTTTGAAAATTTATATTATTTAGAAATGTCATTTATCGATTTTTTAAAATATTTTTGAAGAAAAAAAATTATTGCTTTCCGAAAGGATGGATGTTGCGTCACTTATTTAATTAATAATTAACTATTTCTAAAAATAATATTATAATTTAATTCAATAAACCTTTGTTTCTTTAAAACTAAATTACTTATTTAAATTTTGTATAGTTTTTCAATAACTTTTCTTTTAAAAATACCTTTTTATAATTATATTTTTATCAATAAAATTAAAATAAATTATAAAATAAGTAACATAATTAAAAATAAAAATAAAAGTCGTTTAACGACAACAAATGTCAAACGATGATATGATCAAATTCAGCGCCATTTCTATTGAGACTTGAGAGAATAGTGGAATGTAAAAATAGTAGAAGAACGTTAAATTTATAAAACTAAACAAATAAAAAAATGTAAAAAAAAAAACCAAAATGTTAAAGCACTTTCGGAATACTTAAGTATTTTTTATTTATTTTTTATTTCAGATATGTTCTCGGGATCGATTGAGAAATATTTCTATCGATGTTGAAATAATGTTTTACTAATAATAATAACATTTGTATATTAGTTTTTAGTCATCAATTATAACATATTGAGTTAAGTGGAGTTTGGTATATATATCAATTTGATAATATTTGATTTATCTCGTAGTTTGATTCAAAGTTTGGTATGAACCTTTTTTCTTATGTTCAAACTTGACTCGGTTTAAGTTCTTTGGTTCAGTTCGATAATTCGTTAGCTCTAATCACATAAATCAAAAGGTTAAATTTTTTAAAATTTTTATACATTTCAAAATTTCAATATAATAATAACTTTCTGATAAAATAATTGTTTATTATTTAAAAAAATAACTTATTATATTGGTTTTCAAGGTTACAAGGTATAACTTCAAGGAAACATATGATGTTAAATTAAAAGACAATCTTGGATCCTTTAGGATATAAGTTTTAATGATAACAAACTTAAACATTTTTTTAGATTATACTATAAGACGAATCAATATAGATGATTGGTTATGATAATGTATAATCTCTCAGATGAATTACTTTATTTGTAAGATGAATGCATTTAATATATATCTTTTTCTTATTTGATAACCAAATCATATTTGTCTATGATATTCCTTAACAAATCAAAAGGAATAAAAAACTCCTTCAGTACTCACACTTTAAAAAAGAACAAAGACATGTTTTGTGCTAGAGAAAAGATAAACAATAGTTCCTTTCATTTGGTACTATAAAGGTGATAAGTAGCCTCATTGATCAGATAAAAAGTGACAATTTGGTAAAATATATTTAATGCACCAATAGACACCTCTTCTCACAAGGAAGGAAGAGAAAGACAAACGAAGTAAGCTTATGAGAGATGCTTAAGTTTTGCAACTGTCATCTTCATGAAATACTTATACAAAAAAGAGAAAAATCATTGTAAAAGTTTATATTCATTCTTTTTGTAAAAAGTTTTATACTTAATTTGGTCGTATCATGTCTTGATAGTAAGACAAAATAACAAGTGATTTTCTAGTTTTAACTCAATCTTATTACTTGAAGCTTAAAGAGGCTTGTTTGTAAAAAATACTTGTTTGTTGAAGGCTATAGAAGTTTTACTGTAAAAGAATACTTGGTTGTTGAAACTTGTAGAGACTTTATTGTGAAAGAATATTTAGTTGTTGAAGCTTAGAGAAAGTTCGTTGTTCAAAGAGTACTTGAGTAGTTATTTGAAAAAGTAAGTCAAAGAATACTTAGGTTTAGCCTAAAGTATCTCGTAAAAGAATACTTATCTTTGTAAAAGATAGTAGAAATTGATCGAACTGATTAAGAATTGAACATAATCTCAATAGTTGAGACGAACCAATATAAAAATATTTTGTGTTTTTTTTTCCTTAACTCCTCATTTGCGCTCATTGTCTCAAAAAGTGTTGAGTTTTTTTATTGATATTATTCAACCTCCTTTTAGTGTTTTTATTTTCTCCACACATAATTACAACTAAAGTCTATATAAATAACAACTACTTTACCTTGAATAAAATAATAAAAAACACAATCTAGATCATGAAATTCTAAAAATGTTCACTTTTTTTCTCATTATTTTTAACTTATAACTAAGTTTTGAAAGCTTTTTTTTTTCCTTCAAATTTTAATAAGCTAAAATTAAATAGAAAGTTAATTATATAAATTATATATTTATATATTGATCTAATTTATAAACCAAACGAGTTGAACTATACATAACTTAAATTGACTTATTCATTTATCAAACTCAATCTTTAATTCAAATTTGACTCATTTAGATTTCAACGAATTAATTATTGAATCGAGCTTATTATTAATTATTGGTTCAACCCATTATCACTCTCTACTTGTAGGTCATGTTCATAAATTAAAAAAAAAATTCTTTCTTGTCTTGGATAAAAAACTATATATATATTTGTCTTTGTCTGAAATTTAAATAAGTCACAATTAATATTATTTAATTTAATTATATCATCTCAAAATATTTCTGTATGTGATTGAGACTTATTTTCTAATGACTTTTTTTTTATTGATATAAGTTTTGACCAATATTAGTTTAAGAAAATAAGTTATTTTAAAATAAGATTAATAAAATTAAATAATTTTAATTAACATTTTTAGCTAACATGGACTATTTTTTTCTTCTCACGTACGATGCTAAATGAATTACTAATTTAAAAAATAAATTAAAAGTAATTAGCAATTTAGTATGTGTTTATTACCTAAGGACTTATATTTAATTCCTGACTTAAGTATAAAATCACAATTGATGTATTACTTTATAAATGAACCCACTTAATTAGAGATAGTTATCTTCAAAATCTTAAATAGATTATTTTTGCTAAAATAATATATTAGTTTAAATATAATTTTATTTCTTTAAATTTATAATAAATTTATTTTTTATCTCTTAAATTTAAAATTACTCTTATCAATCTTTTTAACTTCAAAGAAAAATTATTTGTGTCTTTGGGTGTCCACCAGTAGCATAACTAACAATAAGAGATTGAAACTATTATGTAATATTTATTAAATTTAATATGATATTTTTACTAACAAAAATATTAATAGATAAATTTTGTGCGACGTAGATGAGTTTTATTTAATGGATTCAATGGGATGTTCATGAGTCAAGTTAGTTCAAATTTGGGTAAAAATTCAAACTAAACCAATTAAATTTAATTGGTTTGAAATAGTTCGGTTTTTATAATTTTTTTTGCTTAATCAAAACTAAACCAATCCGATATTGATCGGGTTGATTCGATTTGGGTCATCGAATATCCAACGAATATTTAAAAAAATTAAATTAATTTTTTCTCTCAAAATAAATAATTTTTCAACATTAACTAAATTGATATATTATCAAAAATTAACTAAACTGTTATATTTATAATATAGTTTTTCTTGATTTCTTTTCTTAATCTACTTAAGGATTTTAAATACACTATAGTGTATGAAAATAACACTTAATATATTATAATATAGTTCTTTTTTATAAGTATTTGAAATAAAAAAAAATTATATATTGTAATATAAAAATATCTTCAAAATAATCAAAAAGATAAATACATAAATTGTTAACCAAATAAAAAATAAAATATAAATTAATTGGTTTGATTTAAGTTGGCTCGAATTTTGAATGTGTAAATTCAATATCTGAACCATTCAACATTGAGTTTAATTGGTTTGTTTCGGGTTGAACTCGAACAAAAAAAAATCTGAAACAATTTAATTGGTTCGGTTCAGATTGGTTTTGTTGGACCTATCCAATGAACACTCTTAAGACTCATTAACAACATCCAAGTGAACTAAAATAAGATTTTTATTCAAATTAAAAAGACTAAAAAAATCAATTTTAAATTTAAAAAATCAAAATTAAATTTATTCATATTTTAGTATTGTGTTTAAGTCTATTATATTTTAGGCTTAAATATATTTTTAGCCCATCAATTTTATGATAATTTTTGTATCTCTCAAATATAAAATTATTGTTTTTAGTCTTTTTAATTTTTAAAAATCTTGATTTAGTTTCTCAAGTCATTAATAACATATCTAAAAGTGATAGATCAAGATAATGATGCAGTATCATGATTTAATATGATATTTTTATTAACAAAGACACTAATAAATAAATTTTATGTGATAATATTTGATATATTTTTAAAAAAATTTAAATATAAAAATTAAAATAAAATTTATAAAGTTACATAAATTAAAAAATAATTTACGTTAAATTTAAGAAATTAAAATAATATATATTTTACTAACATGAATTGAAGCATGTCGCAAGAAACGCTTTTAAATTTAAGACATGGATATCAATTAAGGGACCCTCTCTTTCTCTCTCCACAGCAGTGTCCCCATAAACTAATGACTCTCCTTTGCTCTCTCTCCCCTCTTATTTTATGCACTGTACCTTTCCTCCTCTCTCTTCTCTCCTCTGCCTTTTTCCTTCACTCTTTTCACTCACTCAAAAAGTGAAAACCCACTTCCTTTCTTCCAAAAACAAGCATTCTCATCTTCTTTTCCTTTTCTCTTCACACCACTGAGTGTGAGTTAGGGTTCTTCTACATTCGCCCCCACCATTGTTGAAACTTGAAACCCCGCATTCTCCGAACCCCATAGCTTCAACCTTCGGATCAAATGGATAAGCACCTTCTCGCGCTGGCTCTCACTCTTCAGCTCCTACTCGCCACTCTCCATGTTTCTGCTGCACCTTCCACCACTTCCCCTGCAAGTAAGTCCCATTCACTTGTGCTCATTCTTTTGCTTCCTCTTGATCCACGTTCTCTTCTTTAGCTCATAAATAACTTCGTGTCTTGGTGGATTCAGAAATTGTTAGTGGGTTTCTCTCCAATGCTGTGCCTGCTTTCACCAAGTGGGTGTGGTCGCTCAAGGCCACCACCAAAACGGGTATGGATCTGTTCAAGTTTGGTGTTTGCTTTTGGTTTTGTGGTTTTCTGTGGTTTTGTTCTTCTGGGTGTTGGTTGGTTGTGAGGTTTGAATGTGGGTTTTATTTTTTATTTTTTGTTACAGCGGTTTCGAGCAGGTCAATGATGAAGTTTGAGAGTGGCTACAGTGTGGAGACTGTGTTCGATGGAAGCAAGCTTGGGATCGAGCCTTATGCTGTTGAGGTGTTGCCCAATGGGGAGCTTCTCATTCTTGATTCGGCTAATAGTAACATTTACAGGATTTCGTCCTCGCTTTCTTTGTGTAAGTGTGCCAATGTGATTTTGATTATGGGTTGTGGTTGTAAGTGGTTGGTGAAATTTACTTTATTCAATTGTGATATTTTGGAAAATAAGAAGGAACAAAATCATAGATTCGTTGCTATCGTGGAGAATTTGATGATCAGCTGCCTTTTTCTGGATTTGGAATGAGGATTTGGTAGTTTTAGCCTTTTAGGTATATCTAGCTTGTTGTCATTTTGAATTTGATCCCTTCATTGCATCATGTGGACTGGTGTTTACATGATGTGACTCTGAATATCTAGTAGTTAGATTATGCCACATGATATCATGTCACTTCAGTTCATGATTTTGAGCTGAATGAAGATGTATTGCAAGATTATAATGCATTTTGAACAATGTGTCTATGGGGCTTGTCTGTTTAATATGATGGCTGTGACTGTAAAATTGTGTGCATGAATGTATTGTATTATACACTTGAGGACGACAATGTTCGTTGCAATTGTGCAGACAGCAGACCCAAGCTGGTGGCAGGGTCAGCCGAAGGATATTCTGGACATGTTGATGGGAAGCTAAGAGAGGCTAGGATGAACCATCCAAAGGGGATAACTGTTGATGACCGAGGAAATATTTATGTTGCAGATACTACAAATATGGCAATTAGGAAAATTGGTGATTCAGGTAAAATAATCTTTCATTCTTCTCTCCCTCATGGTGATCCTCTTTTTGTGTGCACTCTAGGGCATCCTCTTTTTCTAGAAATTCTTGACAACTAGCAAATCGTGTGTGTACTCTTGCAATGATATTGCAGGCCGAGTAATCTTTGATTATAAAATTGTTACTAGTTATTACCACATTAGAGTCAAATGAGGGAACTTTTCATTGAAGTAAAATTTCTATTTCAGGGGTCACAACAATTGCTGGAGGAAAATGGAGCCGTGGTGGGGGCCATGTTGATGGACCAAGTGAAGAAGCAAAATTTTCTGATGACTTTGATGTAGTTTATGTTGGAAGTAGCTGTTCGTTACTCGTCATAGACAGAGGAAACCGAGCCATCAGGGAGATTCAACTCCATTTTGATGATTGTGCCTATCAATATGGCAGTGGATTCCCACTTGGTAAACTAAACAATTCATGTTTTCTGTAGAAATCATGTCAAATGTTGATCAAATTTAGACTCATTGCCTCAATGTTACAGGGATTGCAATGCTTGTTGGGGCTGGCTTCTTTGGTTACATGTTGGCATTACTGCAGCGTAGGCTCAGTACAATTGTAGCATCCCAAGAAGTTAGTGATTTAATCTTGTCTTATTCTTTGCTATACATTTCACTGAATGAGAACATAAATGATCATCAATGAATAAATTCTCATGCATTAGCTGCATAAATGGCAGAACTATCAATCTTGAGCTATAGTTTCAAGTTATTACATGTCAACTTTGCATTACCTTTATAGTGTTGGCAACTACAACATCATGATATACATATGCATGCTCATAAACAGTCAATAATCCATCACATGCTTTCTGTAGGCTGAGGTTCCAGTTACAGTAACATCTTCGGTTCCTCCTAGTCCATATCAAAAGCCCTTGAAATCTGTCAGGCCTCCTTTAATTCCATTGGAGCATGAACCTGAGAAGCAGGAAGAAGGTTTCTTTGGATCCCTTGGGAAGCTTCTCACCAACGCTGGCGCATCAATGGTGGAGATAATGGGAGGATTATTTCCTTCTTTCAGAAGAAAATCGCTGAGTCACCAATTTCACCGGCAACCACTGCTCCAGCAGCCTCAGAAGCAAGTAAATGCTTGGCCAGTGCAGGAAAGTTTCGTGATTCCTGACGAAGATGAACCCCCTTCTATCGACACAAGAGCACCAACCCCACGAAAGACTTATCCTTTCATGTCCAAGGATGCTGAGAAAATGCAGCAACTGCGGCAAAGTCGAGCATTCTACAGTGGATGGGATGGAGATCTCCACCAGCAGCAACAACAGCAACAAAAATATCAGCATCGTAACCAGTACCGATCGTCGATCCCCCACACATACTACGAGCAGAGCCATGAGACAACCAACGAAATCGTGTTTGGGGCAGTGCAGGAACAGGAAAGGAAGCAAGAGGCTGTGGTTATCAAGCCTGTGGATTATGGGGAGTCACCATACGAACATCACAATATTAGGTCTAGAATGAGTTCCATGGGTTATGGCTACAACAGGTATTGAGTATATATAGTTAGGAAGTTTAGATTTTAGGAGTAATGACCTTAATTCAACTTTGAATGGAGAGGGGAATGAAATCAGGTATAGGTAGTGGTATAATGATTTCTTTTAGTGGGATCTTGGTAAGGAGAAGCTGGTAATCATAGTTATGAATTGTTTATTCAATTTTGCCAAAGGTAGGTTGCTATGGTGTGTAGTGTAAGCAGCAGCAGCTCTGGCAATCATGATGGTGGGATGGGATCAAGAAATTTTGCATGCTATTTCTTCTGATGATCTCATCAACTTTAAATGTCCAATAGTTCTCTGAAGATAAGATATTGTAATGTTTTCTTTCTGTTCAATACTTGTTTTCGTCTTAAACGTGGGCTTAACATTTTCTGAAGTCCAACAAAATCAAGAGTCTACAATATTATACAATATTAGCCACAATGTTGAACTAGTTTATAGAAAAATTGTAATTTACATCAGTCTTTAAATGAATTTGGCTTTAAAGTACCCAAGAACTTATTTTTAAATTTTACTGAATCAAAATAATTTGTTAACTTAAGACAAATATTAATTAGTGTTTAAAGATGTTGATTAATGAACTTTGGTGGGGGATTTGGGTAGAACGTACACGTCTAAGGTTTCAATTTTGTTGCAACCATTGTGATAAAAAGATGTTGATTAATGAATAATAGAAAATGAGATGTTTTAGACAGTATTGTTATTAATTAACATCTCAATGAGATGTTTTAGTTAAAATTTAGTCATAATGAGATGTTTGTGTTTTTTAACTAAATTTTATATTTTTTATTCTTTTATGAATAGTATTAGGACATTGATTAAAAAGATAACTCAATTTAGCAAGTGTAATTTTACAATTTCACTTATTCATTTTAGAGATATTTACTTTAAAGTAAAATTAGTAAATTTGTAATATGTATTTGAAGTAAAATCCCTGCTGAAATTGGATTTATAAGAATGCCAAGCATGAAAGCGTTGCGCAGACATTTGTCGACTAAAGTCTAAAACTAAAGTGTCTTTGGCTAGTTAAGGTCAGGTGGCTAGACTTTTCTAAAGAAAATTGCTATATCCTCCGAATGCACATTCTAAATGATTATCCGATTAATTAAAAAGCATTTTTCTTTTTAATTAAAACTTATATTTTATAATTAAAAAAATTATAAATCTCTATCATAATTAATTCGGACGCATTTGAACATCATAATTAATTCGGAAGCGTTTTCGTTCAAAATTTCGGAGGATTATCATTGCTCTTTTATGAATTAACATGGATTACGATGTGTCGATGTGACACATATAGTTCCCCCTGCGCATGTGAAAATGAAATCGTCACAATTTCATTATTTTTAAAAAATTAGGTTAAATGACAAATGATTAAGTATATAAAAAAAATTAAAATACACTAACATGTCATTCAATTGTAGATTTTCATATACGGTAATACTATAGATTTTTGCAATACTTGTTTTAAAGTTATATCTAAAATAAGTTTAATTACTTGATAATATAAAATAATTGTACACCAATAGTGGTACATGAAAATTGAATTCATAAAAAAATATTACGAAAGTAAAATGTTGCACTACAATTAAAAAGAAAATACGATATTACTGAAAAAAATGATAAAATCACGTTTTTAATGCTTGGAACATATTAGAAGTGAGGAATCCTAGTTCCACAAATTTTAGTATTTTATTTCTAACACATTTTCTCTTATTAAAATTGATGTTAAACTACAATAGGAAGGAGCCTCATCAAATAGTGAATGGAACTCGTGTTTAATAAAAAGAGAGTATTAAAATAAAAGTCTCAATTAAAAAAAATATATGACATAATAATTATAAATAAATAAAGAAAAATGAAAAAAATCAAAATAATTTAATCCAACATGACCATTTAAAAAAACTAAATTATGTTAAAAGTTAATCATTCTTACAAATATAAAACTTAAAATCTTAAAGTTTGCAAATCAAACATTTTTATTAAATATATAAACTCGAAGGATTTCACCCACTAGTTATAATAAAGTCCATCTTTATTTTTAAAAGCTAAATATTTATTACTTTTTTTTCTCTTGAGTGCCAAGTAATTTTATTATTATTTCATACTCATTTTTCTCTTTCTTTTTTAAATAAATAATTATTTTTTAACTTTACTTTGACTTTTTTTATCAAAATATTTATTTCATCTGAAATCTCAATCATTTAAAATCTATATATAGTTATTTTTAATTTTATTCATTTCCTGTTAAACTTTAAATTACATTTTTTACTTATATGAATTATACATACTAATTCTCCAATCAGATTGAGCAAGTTTTCATTAGAAAGTTCAAATGTTCATGATTTTTAACAGTACAGATCCATACTTTACATGGTCACTAATAGATGAAAAGAGCCGAAAAAAAGATATGGATGTTGGTAGCAAAATATATGCAAAATAGTATTGTTCTTACAAATAACTTCATCTACGCTTCACAATACCCAAATTACACACAGATGATCCTTGTTGAAAAATGTTATCCTTAGGTAGCTCTACGAAGCCCATGTTAGCCTTTATCATGACATCATCACCTTCATACCCCTTGTTGAAGGTTGCCTTGGTTGAATCTTCATCAAAACTCATCAAATCCTTCAATTGGTCATGATACTTACTTGCCTTTATTACCTCCCCACTATTGTAGCCATCTAAATCTAGCAAAGACACCGATTCTAGATGTGGTCTTTCAGTCACTATGTTGATTCTAACTCTAGACATGCAAACAAGATGAGAGAAACACAATCTCCAAAGCCTCGTCAGGAATGTGCAAACAGAGGAACAACTATAGCTAGCAACTGCGCTTTTCGTGCCGAAGAAGAGCATCGTCACTAGCTTCCCCAGACTGGTTAGGCAATGCTTCCATGTCACGATGAATCGGCAAGGGTTGTAGCCTTTCTGTCTACACAGTTCAGTAGGACAAGGTGTAAGTAATTTTACACTTTGGCAATATAAAATCTGAATAAGAAGTTGAGTAACTTACATTAGGAATGATGTAAGGGCGCACTGCAATCCCAATTAGTAAGCCCAGTAAGCATGAAAGTCCTAATGCTAGAGTCCAAGTCATAACTGCACCTAGCCCTGAACAAAAGAGGTTTTTATCTTTTTACATTACAGTAGAATTAGTGCATCTAGGTTAGGTAGAAGGCAATGTAAAAATTGAGCCAGGAGAGACTCAATACAAAGTTCATGCTTCCAGGATGGATAAGAGGAACTCTCACTTCATAGAAAAAAGTCGAGATGAAATCAAATGGGGAAAAGATAAAAATAAAATTTGAATTGCTTTGAAATTAATCATCAACTAGAATCATGAAAAAATGGAAATGAATTGACTAGGGAAAAAGTTAAGCACTATGGTGGTCGAAGTTTAATAGGGAAAATAGGCAAGGACAGGGTGAATAATAACCTTATCTTTTTTAATAAAATTATATTTAAGTGAAAAAGAGCAGCAAAACCTGCAAAAGTACCCCTAATATCGAACATGTGGATGAGAGAAATTTGAGTCAAGGTTCTTTCTGGAATTGTGCAAAATGTAGATTTAGTTAAGAGGTGTGCCCACTTGTTTGCCGGTCAAAAGTGACTTAAGAGACATTGGTCCCCACTGGGTTTCCTTCTGTCCACTTGTTCCCAAATTCCAAACAGTAGAGGAAGTATACACTCTCATCTTTCACCTTATCAACTGCCCCATATCTTCTTCCCAGAGATATACTAAAAGCATGTTTGGATACAAGCCTAAAAGGACTTTTAACAGCTACTCTACTAGAAAATATTCTTTATTTTTTCAAGACTGATTCCAAATAGGCTCTAAGATTAAGACTGTTAAATAGGAATCTTCATTTGTATAACTCAAGTAATGAGATAATTGATGGAGCGATGATCTACATTTTAAAAGCAAGTCAATTGAAAGGTTCATTTAATAGATAAAAATAAGTGTATAACATTAAAGCTTTAAATGAACTGCTTGCTTCGCAATGTTCATGTATCATGGCATGTTTAATATCACAAAACATACAAAGTGTCAGAGCCTTGGAGCGATAGAAGAAATCATATGATTCAAATCCAGTATATTTATGTCTAGGCATTCATTTTAGCTAATTATATTATTATTACATTATAGTTTGGATTAGGTTGGATAAAAATCTATCACTTTCTCTCAGTTCTGTCTTTTTTTCTTTCTATCTCTCCCTTCCTTCCATCTCTTGTTCCCCAAAACATGGGGTATACACTCATCATTTTATGAAACCCAAAAACATAAAATGTAATATAGAAGGCTATATCATACACTAGCAGATATACACATGCCACAAATTAAAAAATCTAACCGGAATTAGAACCAAGGGTACAATCCTCCTCCTTCAAATTAATCTGGCGGACCAATTGATGCATGTGATCTGACACCAGCAAAGCACACAGACCAGGAATGAAAGTCAGGTCAAAATCATTTGAAAACGATGCATTCAGGGCAGGTCCATCCTTTGTGCTTGACTTTTCTGAGAACCGTCCTCCAGCAATTGTGGTCACACCTAGTCAAGACTCAAGACCAAATCAGACAAAAGGAATGTTCAACATTTTCTGATAACACAATCCACAAGATTCACCATCCTAATAACCATGCTTTTAAGAAAATCATTAAGCAACGCTAAGCTTAAAGCAAACCTGGAGGGCCACCACACTTAACAATTCACATACATAGTTTGACCCACACTTTGCTTGCAGAGTTGACCTTCCCCCGTCCTTTATTCCCTCTCTCTCTTCCCATACAACTATGAATTTGGCTCAATTGAGGTGAGAAAATCAATTGTTCATTTGTTCATATTCCAACACATTCATGAATTTTTAATTTCTATATGTAATATCTACCGTTAATTTTCTCATCAATGACCAAAGCAACGTGTAAATAAACTTCTCAATAAGTACTCATAGAGGAAGAAAATAAGAAAACAAAATGAATTGTGTTTCTCTCATGAGTTAAAATCAACTAATCACTTAATTTTATAGAAGCTCTCTCATCAAACTTCTTCAAAAGTTAAGGTGCATAAGTTGATTTTAATTCTCAAGTAACTCAATTCATTTTCATTCACAAGAAAACTCAATTCATTTTCCTTTTTTATTTTCTTCAATGTTTATAAAAAAAAAGAATTAGGCTTAATTGCACATTTTTCCACCAAAGCTTCACATTTCTACAAATTTTGCCACCCGAACTTTAAAATTACACATTTTGCCACTCAACTTTCAAACTTTTGCATATTTCGTAACCATGATAATTGACTTTTGTTAATTGATTGCTGACATGAAACTTTGCGAATTAACTACCGACATGTTATATTGACTATTGACATAACTCATTATGTCAGGTCATCATCCATATGTTACACCAACACTCCACATCTTCAATCAACATATCATGTTAGCAGTCAATGTATCATGTAGGCAATGGGGTGACAAAATATATGAAATATTAAAAGTTGAATCACAAAAAGTACAATTTTAAAAATTAGGAAACAAAATTTGTGAAATTGTGAATCATGAGTGCCAAAAAGTGCAATTAAGAAAAAATAGATAAAAACTATCCATTGTCATGCAACTATGCACCCGAAAACAGAACAAATGCATTTTCAATCCACATCATGCAGTTGAAGGCGATTTCATGAAGCCAAAGACAAACACAAGATGACCAAATTATGCGATTATTTACAAACATACCCTTAGCGCTAATTTTCCTTATTGCATGGTTGGACTTGTCAGCAACATACACATTCCCTCTGAGATCAAAAGCAAAGCTTCTGGGTTTGGCAAACCGAGCCGAACCCACGTCCCCATCCAAATACCCGACAGACCCATCTCCAGAAAACCTGGTGAAAACGGTTTCTGCAGCAGAACAAGCGCAAAAAGTAAAGAAAAATGGAAACTTTGGCGCAGCCCAGAAGAGGGAGAGGGAGGGAAAGAACCTTGGGAAATGGGGAATTGCGCGGTGTAGAAAGTGCTGTTGACGAAATCGAGAAGGATGAGATCGGAGGAAGAGGGTCGTTGGAGGAGGCTGAAGGGGTAGATGTGAGGCTTGTGGCCGTCGAAGATGGTGCTCACCGTGTAACCGTCTTCGGGGATGACCACTTCTTTGGCGTTAACTGAAAAATGGAAAGAGAAAAAAGTGAAAAATGGAATCGGAAAGGAAAGGGAGAACGAGGGAATGAGTTGTTACCGTGAAGTGAGAGAAGGGAGAGAGTGAGTGTGAGGAAGGTGGAAAGAGAAGCCATGCCTCAGTCTCACTTTGCTACAAGAGTAAGCAGAGGTTTGGTATTATAGTGGTAGTAAGGGTTCCTTCTGGACGAAGTAGACGAAAGGAAAAGTTTGGGATCTTTCCTTGGAAGTTGACCCAAACTAGTCTGAGCAGCTCCCACGAATATTTTACTATTATAATAGTTTTTATAAAAAAAATTCCCTAAATAAATCCCCCAATTTATTTATTCGAACAACATCACCAACGACCTACACGCGGTATTCACATCATGGAAGGAGCTAAACTGATGGAGTTAGGTTGAAGCAATGATAGGCTATTTGCTTCTTTGGACCTCCTCCGGATGCATTGATCTTTTCCTTGAGAGTTACTCCGTTTGAATGGTGGAAGAAGAGAAGAGAATCGGTGATGAAGACTCCCTAGTCTATGTATGGAAGTATCCTAGCCAAAAGAACCAAATGAAAGCTCACTTCAAGTGCAGGAAAGTTTAGGGATCCCTAGAACTAAAGGAGACTTTCGATGACCTTTGAGAGGGAATAGGCTGAATAAACTTTTCAGAATTCTCTATTGATTCAAAAGTGTTTACATAAGAGTGAAGGTGTCAATATATAGGCCAAAGAAGCTAGCTAGTGGTGCCTAAATTCAAATGACCAACTTTGGAGCCAATATTTCAATTCAAGGAAAAGATCAATGCATCCGGAGGAGGTCCAAAGAAGCAAATAGTCTATCATTGCTTCAACCTAACTCCATCAAGTGGTATCAAGAGCAAGGTTGCTTCCTTGAGTTAAGTGACTCCTTTTCACCGATTTTTTTTTGTGATTTTGTGTCATTCCTTGTCTCAATTGTGCTTCGCTGTTTGGATCTAAATTCTTGTTCAAAATTTTTGAGAGATTCAATTGGTGTGATTGTATTTGAAAATTCGGCAATCACATTGAGTCTAGGAATTCTACCTTGTCCGATTTTCAATTTATTTGAGTCTTCTTGAAAAATTTTTTTGATTCGGTCATTTGAAATTTGTATGCATGTGTTTTGATTTTTGAATCCTATTTTTTTTTGTCTAGAAGTCATGTTTAATCATTTCTTTGTCATAAATTCAAGATGTGCTTAGTTTATCCAATTTTTCAATTTGCTTTGGATCTTGTTTCTTGCTTTGGCCGAGAGCAATCATTTTTGTGAACCTTTGCTTATGTGCTTTTCATTTTATCACTTTGAGTTCATGTCCATCGTTAGTTCATTGGTGGATTCTTAGAGTTAGGATTCCATTGTGTCACATTTGTTTGTTTGAATTTGATTCCAAGAAAATTTCCTATTAAAAAAATTGTGATCATTTTTTTGCTAGATTTTTGGTTAGTAGACTAGTTCAATTTTGGTGCATGAATTTAGCATTTATGAATATGGAAATTTGCTTGTAAAACAAGGGAAAAAATAGAACCAAAATTGAAAAAATACATGAGCAAGTGACTTTGGATTGAAAACAAGCAAGTGATTGCAAAGAAAATGCATCAAACTCCTTATAAATTTTGAACTAGCTCTAGCTGAAAATTGTTTTAGTAATTCGGATTCATTTTTCTCAATTAGTGTGGCTGGAACATATTTCTGGAAAAATGCAGTAAGACCTTCTTTGAAACAAAAGAAAACATTGCAAAGAAATATATAAAAAAAAAAAGTAGAAAAGCCAAGAAGGATCAATGAACATTCAATTTTGCCTCTATATTGAATCCGGTTTACTAATTTGATTGGTTCTTTGCTTAATCTTTCCTTCCTTTTAATTTTTGGTTTTCTTAATCTACTCTAGTGCCAATCTAAGACTTTCCTAATTGTGTGCTAGTTGTTTTGAGTCTTAATTTTTGCTTTAATTCCTTGGCTTTCTTTGAGTCTTCTCTTAAACACTTAATTATTCAATTTTGGTATAAGCTTTCTAAATTGTGCTTTTGTTGCTTGTCTAAGTTTTCCTTGAACAAAAATTCTGTGCTGGAAGTGGCATCAAATTCTTGCTTAAGAACCAAACATTGACTCAACAAGGATAGGAAAGGAGTTTTGAAACAAGGACCTTTTCCTTGAGAGTTACTCCGTTTGAATGGTGGAAGAAGAGAAGAGAATCGGTGATGAAGACTCCCTAGTCTATGTATGGAAGTATCCTAGCCAAAAGAACCAAATGAAAGCTCACTTCAAGTGGAAGAGACAGTGCATTAAAAGTAAAAATTCATAATATTAAGATAGAGTGAATTATATAAGGTTTTTAATCTCCATAATGATGTCCAGTTCTACAACGAGAGCGACGTCTGTTGCGATCTAGGTTACACCATGGAGGTTGTTGCTCAGCAGGATTTGGATCATCATCAAGCACTGGTTGTTGGAATGCAATTGAAGAACTATCAAGTTTATTAGCGAATTCCGGTTGGTAAAGAGATTGCATGTATGATTGTGCTGAAGATGGAGTTCTAAAATCTACTCCAAATAAATTTGTAAAAAAATACTCTGAAGTTGTTGCAAACGAATATCTTCTGTTTATTATGTTTTCTTGTGGTGTGGAGGATTTGATACATGTTGATGAGTCTCTTCATACGACGACATGGAAGTCGCACCGGTTTCAAATGTTGTGGAAGTCCTTCATTGTTGATGGGTCCTTGGATCCTGAGTAGTCGTGGCACAGATAGGAAATAGATGGAATTGGCCATGTACCATTCCATGTATTCTCGTGTGTGAAACAATGGGCCTTGCATTGGATGACCCATTAATGTGTGCTCACGTCTATTGTTCCACATGTCGATCCATTGAGCATGTCTTGTAACCCAATTTTCACCTTGTCTTCCCCTCATGTCAATTTTGTGTAGGTTATCCAAATTATTGGGTGGAGAAGGGACATCCTAGAAGAGACGAAATTGCAATTTCACTCTATCCGATTGGTACCATTCAATAATTGCAAAACAAATGATTGAGGTACTTGAAGTGCACAGTTGAGCATCTCTATATGCTTGCATGGGTATTGATATTTGCAAGACTTGATATGGAGCCCATAAAAATTACAAATAATTTAAACTTTGTCAGTTAAGAGAATATGCTAAATAAAAGAAAATAAGAAATAAATAAAACTTTGTTACAAAGAATTACCTACTTAGCCTGAATGTGATCAAACCTTGATCTGTATCCGACAACTTCATTATTAGGTACACTTTGAAAGTTTAGTACTCTACCCCCGCTCCATTTGCAGACCAAATGGAATGTTGGTGGTACTCTGGAAATTGGCACAATATATGGCGTCCGATGCCATGCCCAAGACTGTAACAATGATGCAAAACCACCAATTGTTCTACTCGTAACATTTGTGGCTTTAAACGTTTCCCTATATAACATAGATAAACAAGTAGACCCCTGTCGCAACCCGAAAATTTCTGATCTCGCGACCTATGGTTTAGACATCCTTTTGAAAATCTCATCAATTAAGGAATGCCCGCACGCCAGACTAATCCTTAATCAATGGTTTTGAAAATAGGTTTTTAGGAGTTGCCACCAATGTTTTACTCAAAACATTGGAAAAAGAAAAAGGTTTTTTAAAATTTAATAATGACCTTAATAACCAGAATTGGCTTCGAGGGTCGGTTACGTGTAGGGGAGGTATTAAGCACCCCTACAAAGGAAAGTTTAGGGATCCCTAGAACTAAAGGAGACTTTCGATGACCTTTGAGAGGGAATAGGCTGAATAAACTTTTCAGAATTCTCTATTGATTCAAAAGTGTTTACATAAGAGTGAAGGTGTCAATATATAGGCCAAAGAAGCTAGCTAGTGGCGCCTAAATTCAAATGACCAACTTTGGAGCCAATATTTGAATTTCAAATGGAATTTGAAATTCAAATTTTGGTATACCATGTGCTCATCCGAAATTTATGGCAACTAGCATCAACTAAGTTGCATTTAAGACTCATTTTATGTGCATTTAGGGTGCACATGTTCAGCTCATACAAACTTAAAACATGTGACCTAAATTCATGCCAAATGACACCTTAATGAAACTTAGATTTAGCCTAAATGACTTAATATTGAAAACCTTCTACATTCCTAATCTAATGGCCACTCTGTGAGAGTTGCAAACACACTCAACACCCTCATTTGTTGTAAAGTCTGAAGAGGTTGATAGAAAGAATACTTGTGAACTAGAAGTGGTTGAGAATACTAGCGCTAGTAAGTGAAGCTAGCGGGTCAGAAGTGGTCAAGAATACTTGGAGAACTAAAAGTGGTTAAGAATACTAGTGTCGACAAGTGAGGTTGACAAGCCAGAAGTGGTTGAGAATACTTGTAATCCTCTGTGATTAGTGGAACCCTTCGGTTGAAGGAAACTGGACGTAGTTCAGATTAAGTGAACCAGTATAAACATCTGTGTATACCTTTTTCTATACTCACTTCATTTTCATCCATTTGCTTTTCAACAAACTGTTAGACAAAAACACAATTGCATATCTTGTTTAAGAAAAAATTCTTTTTATTAGACGATAAAACCTTTCAGAAGGAAAACAAACTCACCCAACTTGTTTCTTGAAGTTGACGATCAGTTTTGTTAGACAAAATTTTAGTCAGACAAGCTTGCACAAGTTTTCAACTGTGATTGAACACTCTATTCATTTAAAAGAAAAATATCATTGCAAAGCAACTTTAAAAAATCTACCTTTGAACACGCACACACACATTCAACCCCCCTTCTGTGTGTATTTCTGCTAACTTCATCTACAACATCTATAAGATCGCCTAAAAAATCCTCATACTCACACTGCTCAGGTGGGAGTAGGTATGTCCCCAGAAATTCATTAATAGTGTAAGCATCATATGGAACATTGACCCCCCACACATAATTGGTATAAGTGGCTATGCCTTCCTGAAAGCGTAAGGCATCAATGTAAAACTCTTTAACTACAACTATGTTGGCAGGGCCAGGATAAGAACCAATTGTGTCCTAGCTTCTCCTAGTGAGCTCTCCCTTGAAGTTAGGGACTTCGCCATCTTCAAGCTCAACTTTCCTCTCTAAGATGAATTTCCTACCTCCGACACTGTCAAAATGCTTCTCATGTCATTTGGTTAGAAACAGGTGGAAGTATGGCTTGCTACCCTTCTTGGGAGGCTGATAAGGTTGGCTTGAGCGTTGTCTCTTACCAAAAAAGGCCATCTCCATAACAAAA